ATTCTAAAGTGTTACCAAAAAACCCAGCAATATTGTGAAATATTATTACAATTTAAAACAGCGGTTTCCTATGTGAATATATAGTGAAGTGTAATTTATTCCTGTGATCAAAGCTGAATTTACAGCGTCATTACTCCAGTGTCACATGATCCTACAGAAATTATTATAATATGATGCTCAAGAAACATTTAGGATTATTATCCATGTTAAACAGTTTTTTACATTTTTATTTCGGGATTCTTTGATGAATACAAAGTTCAAAATAATAGAATTGAAATGGAAAGCTTTGGTAACATTAATCACTACCATTTAAAAGTTTGGGGTCAGTAAGAATTTATTTTTTATTTTTGGGGGAAAGAAATTAGAAAATACTTTTATTCATCAAGGATGAGTTAAATTGACCAAAAGTTACAATAAATACATTTATAATGTTAGAAAAGATTATATTTTAAATAAATGCTGTTCTTTTGAACTTTCTATTCATCATTGAATTTTTTTTTGAAAACACGACTAATAATTTATGTTTTTTGAGCATAAAATCAGCATATTAGAATGATTTCTGAAGGATCATGTGACATTAAAACTGATGTGTAATCAGCAACAGTAATGATGTTGAAAATTCAGCTTTCAAATTACATTAAAATATATTAAAATAGAAAACAGTAATTTTAAATTGTCATATTATTTCACAATATTACTGTTTGTCATTTTTTTTTTCATCAAATAAAGCAGCCTTGGTGAGCAGAAGAGACTTCATTTAAAAACATAAAAAAAATCTTACTGATCTAAAACTTTTGACCGGTAGTGTATACATTGCTCTGTATATATGGTACCACTTCCTTTTACAGTACAGTACTTACAGTGTACTTACCTAGAAAGTACTGGCTAAGATAAGGTAAGTACATGGATCAGGGTTAACTTAGTACTAGTTATTACCCAGTAATTGTAGTTAGTAAAATAAGTACATATTTACATGGGTAACTGGACTGTAAAAGGATGCATTTGCTGTAGATGTTGTGAAAAGGATCCGGCAGGTGTTCATGAAGCCCCTCAAGTGAAGTTCGTTCCTTAAGTGTGTATTGTGAATAACAAAAAAACATGGAGGCACCCACTCTATTGAAGTGGACTAAGTGGACGCGGGAGGTCTCCTTGGAAACACTTCATGGCTTTGAGTTTGACACCCGCTCTGAAACGGATGATGTCAGACAGTGCTGTACTGATGATCCAGTGTGTGAGATAGTATTATCACTGACTCATGGGGGATTATTATAGCAGACGCTCTCAGATTATAATCAGACGCTCTGGAGTGATGGAGGCGGAGGCTTTGGGTTGTGCTGTTACAAACAAGAGCCCTCTCAAATTGAGCTGAGTCGGGAACACACACACACACACACGTTCATCATGGGTTAACTCAAATTTAAATAGAATGCTTTATGGAACAAAAAGATTCTATACAAGCAGACATTACTTCTTAATTCTTTCATGTTTATTTCAGTTTTTTCTTGTGGATTATTATTTAAGCCTGCAAATATATTGAAAGTTTATTTGTTTTAACAAATGTAGTTATTTTAAATGAGACAAAAATGAAGAAATACAAGCACTGATATTAGGGGTCTCAGTTATTAACACAACAAATATAGTATGTAGGATTATAGCCTATATTATTTAATTATTACAGAAACATAACCATTTAGGCTAATATGCATGCAGTATGAGGTGTTTGTATGGGGATGAGTTGATTATGGCTGTGATTTAAGCGATATAAACACTAAATGGATGGTCTGAAACCTCTCTTCTGATAAAGCATCTAGAAAGGCCCTGTTTGTGTAGTTGAGAGACGCCACCTGGCGGTGCGGATGAGTGGTGCAACTATTTTGTAAGTGGTCAAATGTAACTGACTCACTCAACTACACTCTAAAAAATGCTGGGTTGTTTTAACCCAACTTTGGGTCAAATATGGACTAACCCAGCCGTTGGGTTATGTATATAACTTTTTTACATATACATTTTTACATTACATTTTTAACCCAACATTTCGGGTTTGTCCATATTTGACCCAAAATTGGGTTAAAACAACCCAGCATTTTTTAGAGTGTAGTTACAACAGTTCAGTTGTTATATTTTAATGTTTTGTTAGTAGTCGCTATTTAGTGTATTGGTATGCAAATGTAACAATAAATACAATTAAAATGTTTGGAAATATTTCTATTTCAAATAAAGGCCGTTCTTTTGAACTTTCTTATCTTTCAAATAATTATGAAATCCTGAAGGTTACAAACATATGAAGCAGCACAACTGTTTTCAACATTGATAATAATTTCTCGAGCAGTAATTCCACGAATTAGAGTGATTTCTGGAGGATCATGTGACACTGATAACTGGATTAATGATGCTGAAAATCCAGAAATAAATTATACCTTACTATATTTTACAGTAGAAAACAGAACATTTTGAATAGTAATAATATTTCACAGTTTTACTGTTGTGAGCAGAAGCGTTTAATGTTACAAAAATATTTAAAACGTTTTTACCACAAACTTGTTTAGTGTATTTATTTATATTTTCATTTCTATTCATATTAGTTGTTTTTTTTGGGTTTTTTTGTCTCTCCATAAAGGATCTTATGTATGCTTTTAAAAAGTTATTTTGTGCGTTCAGATCATGGTATTGATAATAAGCCAAAAAAATGGATTTAACAACATGCTTATGATTGTACACAAACTCCTGAAGGCCACTAGAGGTCATCCCAGCTCTTCTGATTTGGCTTCAGGAACAGGCCATGTTTAATAGCGTAATCAACAAGAACTTTCTGAGCGGTGCTTGAAGATATGTAAATGTAGGTGATATGTAAATATGTAAATGTAGGTGTCTTATGTTAATGAGCACATACGCATGATGATTTCTATGAGCTGTTTATGCAGTGTAGTTTAAATCCTCTGGCTGGATGTAAAGGAGCTTGAGCATGAATGTCCTGTTTGCCATTGTTTCCCTTGGAGTGAAATGTATGCATGCACTCCTGGGTTATTTTGTCAACACATTTTCTGGGTTATTAGTGTTGGGTTAAAATTAGTTATTTTTTCAGATAGTGACCTTTTTCATGGTTATAGGGATAATATTTTGACCCAATTCCTGGGTTAAAAAGTGAGCAACTAATTTCTGGTTTATTTCAACCCAGGTATTGGGGGTTGTTCTTTTGACCCAAAAGTTGGGTTATAGTACAGTAACTACAGTTTTCGGTTGTGTACTGTTAACCCAACATTTGGTTTACGTATTTAACCCAGAAGTTGGGTCAAAAACAATAACCCAATTTTCTGGGTTAAAATAACCCATAAATTAGTTGGTGGGTTATTTTCAGTGTTGGGTAAGTTACTCTAAAAAAGTAATTAATTACTAGTTACTAATTACCTCTTCAACAATGTAATTAGATTACTGTACTAATTACTCTCTTTAAAAAGTATTTAATTACTTTTAATTACTAATTACTTTTAAAATCCCATATCAATCTCAACCAGCTGAATAATACAAGGATAGACATGAATCTGTTTTAATTCTTTCAAATAAATACTATAAAATTGCATGAATTATCCTTAAACTGACCAAGGTGGAGAAGGTTACATTATAAAAACATACTTTTTAGCATCAGACAATACATTTTGATGTTAAACCCACTATTGTTTTATGTCTGATCTCGTGACATTTCACACTTTTTCATAAATATTTTACAATAATTCATACGAATTTGTACGAGTGCAGTTGTACAATTTAGACACCTCATGAAACGAATACGAATCGCTGTGAGATCGGATTGATCTATACACAGTATTTACCTCAATTACATCAGAAGTAATTGTAATTAAATTACAGATTAATTAAGAGTAACCCCTTACTTTACATTTTCAATGGAAAAGTAATTAAATTACAGTAACTAATTACTTAGTAATTAGTTACACCCAACACTGGTTATTTTTGACCCAAGACTTTTTAATGTGTGTAAAAAGTCTGAATGATTGGAGCTGAGGTTAAAACACTTTCTGTACGGCAACATGTCTGTCATTGTAAATGAAATTCCCGTTTCTCAGACCAAAGATGGGGTTTCAGATGTCCAGCTGAGTGTGGAGAACTTTCCCCAAACCCATTAAGTGTGTGTTGATCACCGTCTGAGTGCCCCGAGAGGATTTCCACTGTAAAAGTCACATTCTTTCCTATTCATTGCGTTTCTTTCCCGACCCGGCAGTTCATCGGCCAGTCAGGTATGCTGGGACTTCCTCTGGCCATCTGGGAAAGAGAGCAAACCCAGTCCCTTTGGAGTCTCTAGACGTTTAGAGTTTTCCCTACACAGTACACACACACACACACACTCTCTGTATAGGTCACTTTGTGCTTTTATGGTAATCTAAAAAAAATTGAGTGTCACACTCGGGTTGTTTTAACCCAAATTTGGGTCAAATGTGGACAACCCCAAATGTTGGGTTAAAAATGTCATTTAAAACTTCAACACTTTCAACTGTACATTTAATTACATTTTTAACCCAACATTTGGGTTTATTTGTCCATATTCGACCCAAATTTGGGTTGAAACAACCCAGCAGTTCTGGATTTGACAGGTGATAACCGCTCTGCTAACGTTTGTACTCTTTCTTTTATATTTTAATCAGAGTTGGATGTTTGTCTGTTTGTATACTTTTTCTTACTCTATCACCACGTATGCGGACGGTTTAAGTAATTTTGTTAAACACGGGGAAAACACGCCATCTCTCATCTGTTGTCTCTCAACGGATTGAGCCCACTTCATCTGTATCATACACTCCCATGAAGCATTGCTGTTGACATTATCTCATGCTATCTTAATATTTTGCAATGAACCTAAGATATATGCGTCAATATGATTTTAATCATTGTCTGGTTTGAGCATCTTCATGATCTTGTAAAGTAATAAAGAGTGAAGATAATTGTATGTGATGACTCTAACTGGTGTGTGTTTCTCCTGTGTGTGTCTGCAGGTATGGATGATTTGTCATGTGTGGGGTCTGGCTGAGGGCCGCTGTTGCCCTGGCGTCTGCACCCCATTGGCTGATTCACCAGCATGTACCGTAGAAACGGCCTATCGGATGGCACCAGCATTAGCTCCGCCTCCTCTGAGGTAACCAAACAAAATATTTAACAAAATATTCATCTAATGATTAACTGGTAAATAATACTTATCTCACTGGCTTTTTTTCTTCAAGTGGTCATCGATGCAAATTATATTTCCTTATTTCAGCAGTATGACAGGATTGGACTGAAAGAGTAATTTATTTAATTATAACAATCAGTTCTTTGCTGACTCGTGTACTGGGTTATTCTAGTTAACTAAAACTAAAACCATAACACATTTCTCTGGTACTGAAATAAATATTATAATATGATAAATGTAAAATATATATATATATATATATATATATATATTTTTTTTTTACTTTTTTACATTTATTTTTTATTTCAGTTAATATTTATCATTTTATAATATTTACTCCAGTACCAGAGAAATGTACTACTATAACAATAAAATGGATAAAACAATACAAACATTTAAAACAACAATAACTGATACAAATGACCAACATTTTAAAATGAGACTGGGAAATTCAAAATAAAAACAAAAACCAATGATCTCAGTAATTTCGATCTCAATGATACTAAAATAACACTGTTCATGTATACTGTAAAATATATATATATTTTTTTATTTGCATACTTCTAGTAAATATCAGGTAGGCCCGATTCAGCAACATTTTAAAATCTTGGAAAAATACATTAATTGTTTTTATGTGACGGTTTGTATAATTCTATTATACAATATTATACAATATTTGTGTGTGTGTGTGTACATATATATACACATATACACACATACACATACACACCTTTCGTCACGCACTGGTAAAACACCCTCTGTTGTGTTTTGTGGGGTTATGTCATTGCGTCAGTGCACTTGCTGTCCTCACTGAGGTCCTGTACAGGGTGGCTGTTCTCTGATGGACAGTTACGGGTTTGCAGTGGAGCGTTGCATTGCTCTAATGAGTGTTTGACCCTGACTGGCAGGCAGTGTGAGTGATCCACCGACCCCTCGTTTCCACTGCCATTCCCATTACACGACCTGCACATCGCCACAGCCTCACTGACACGTGTCCTGCAGTGCACCATGGGATCAGATGGCAATACTGTTGTTTTCATACATGCTATAACGTTTGGTCGTTTTAATATTTTGAAAGAATCTCATATGCTCACCAAAGCTGCATTTATTTGATCAAAAATAAAAACCGTGATATTGTTACAACTCAAAAGAACGCTTTTCTCTTGTAGAATATATTATAAAATATAATTTATTCCTGTGATCAAAGCATCATTACTCCAGTCTTCAGAGTCACATGATCCTTCAGAAATCACTCTAATATGGTGATCTGATGCTCAAGAAACATACTTCAAGTTTTCTTAAAATGAGTAAAACTTACAAAAAAAAACTTACATTTAAGTCACCATTATGGTGATCAGTGTTTGTTTTAGGTTTCTCCTTCAGTGATTCTGCTTGTTAACATCAGGCGTCTTCAATGTTGGCAATATAAAATAAAGAGTTCTTAATTAATCTTTGACGTCTGTCTGTTATTCAAATATTTTTGATTATTTTTTTTGGTGTAAACTTTACTCATTTTAAATGCAATGGATTTCTTTTAAAAAGAAATCACTCTAATATGATGATCTGATGCTCAAGAAACATTTCTAATTATTATCAATCAGTTGTTCTGCTTCATATTTTTCTTTTCAGGATTCTTTGAATATAAAAAAAAAACAGTATTAATTTGTAAAATAAACCTTTTTCAACCTTATAAATGTCTTTACTGTTACTTTTGATCAATTTAATGCATCCTTGCTGAATAAAAGTATTGATTTCTTTCAAAATGGTGTAATGCTGAATAATTGCCAGTTTCCTATATGGTTTTGTTACTTCAAAGTCTCATAAAATAGGGAATCGCAGTAATACCAACAGCAAGGACTAGTGCACTATACATCATATAAAAAATATTATTATTGCTATTATTCATCATATCTATATGCAAGTCAGCTGTACTCATTATTGCACATATTATAGTGGGACTGTTGCTGATAGACTTCTACACCCGTCATTATGCACTCATATTTATACTAATTTATATTTATACATGCACTGAAAAAAATAATATGCTTTATCTAATCAATAAAATTGTGACAACATATTACAAGCAATATTATTAATTAAATTGTACAAATTATAATTAATTAGAATATTAATTTGATTAACTATTACTCAATTCTAATTTGTTTAATTTAATAAATAATATTGCTTGTAATCTGTTGCCACAACTTTATTGATTAGATAAAGCATATTCATTTTTACAGTGTGTATTCAATCTCCTTACAGTCTATATAATTATATTGTGTTGTCATTCTTTCCAATTTATAAATCTAGTCTATTTGATCTGTGGAGAGTCGTATAAAGCAGGTCGTATGATTGTGTATCAAATCAATACCCGAAACTTAAAATAAATGAGTTTGTAATCCTCATAGTGCTGATACCGTGTTTTTCCATGGTACATTTCAACGCATTCTCACCCCAAGGCGTCACCTTTGACCATGCTTCAATATTTGACGTTTTAGGCGCCCTTTAGCGTCACTTACATGACGCGATCCTACGGCGTCATCTAACTGACGCTAAAGGAAAGCGTCAGTTAGAGGACGCGGTTAGGTTTAGGTGTGGGGTGGGGGTAGGGTACACGCGATCCTAGGGCGTCATCTGACTGACGCTAAAGGAAAGCGTCAGTTAGAGGACGCGGTTAGGTTTAGGTGTGGGGTGGGGGTAGGGTACACGCGATCCTAGGGCGTCATCTAACTGACGTTAAAGGGCGCCTAAAGCGTCAGATATTGAAGCATGTCCAAATGCTTCCCAAGGCGTCAGTTAGGTGACGCCTTGGGGGTGAGAATGGGCTGTACATTTTTATGGTAATACCATGATACTTGTTTTTTTTTGTAAGGATCAGCTCTTTTTTATTTACTGGAAAGTATCAGAATGGAAATAAGATCGCGTCTTCATTCAGATGCTGTTATCATCAGATCACAGATCAATGAGGCTCTGGGAACGTTCATGGTTTTTCCAGCGCTGAGAAACACATCCCATGAAAACCTCACGCTAACCCGACGACTGCGCTTTTCCATGGAAAGACCCGAGCTGATGTTTTAACGACAGTTATGATGTGTTCTGTGACGGCTGGTGGGCAATACCCGAGAGCCACACCAGAACAAATAAAGGATAATATATAGTCATCATCAAAAAAATAACCCAAAACAGGAACATTTAGTTAGATTTGTTAAAGGAGTAGTTCACTTTTAAAAAAGCTTTTGCTGATAATTTACTCACCCCCATGTCATCCAAAATGTCCATGTCTTTCTTTCTTCAGTCGAAAAGAAATTAAGGTTTTTGATGAAAACATTCCAGGATTTTCTCCATATAATGGACTTCAATGGGAACCAAAAACCAAAAAGTTTCAGTGCAGCTTCAAAGGGCTTTAAACGACACCAGACGATGAATAAGGGTCTTATCTAGGACTCTTCGAGTCATGACTCGAAAAAAGATTTGTTGAATTCATTTTGATGAACGAGTTTGAACAGGAGAGTCACGAACGTGCATCACAGAACAGAGCAAGGCGAGCATTTGCGCTTATAAAACTTAAACTTTGTTATTTATTTTTTAAATGAGCGATCGTTTCGCTTGTTAAGACCCTTATTCATCATCTGGAATCGTTTAAAGCCCTTTGAAGCTGCACTGAATCTCTCATTTAGACCTCGAACCGTTTGGTCCCCATTGAAGTCCATTATATGGAGAAAATCCTGGAATGTTTTCATCAAAAACCTTAATTTCTTTTCGACTGAAGAAAGAATGACATGGACATCTTGGATGACACGGGGGTGAGTAAATTATCAGCAAAAGCTTTTTTAAAAGTGAGCTACTCCTTTAATGAGTAGCCATTGTTTGCATCCCTCCATCTCTTCTCTGTAAGTGTTCTTGAATTTAGCTTGTTTCTCTTATCCAGGGAAGCAGCAGCTCCGTGTCTGTGGACGGCCCGAGCGCGGACTACGCGAAGAGCTACGATGCTGTCGTGTTTGATGTGCTGAAAGTCACGCCAGAGGAGTTTGCAGTGAGTAAAACTGTCAGCGTTCAAATTGATGCTTTCTTTGGTGGATAACTTTGGTTCTACATCATTTGTCTTGTCCTGTAATGATGCAGCTCCACGAGTCTCATTAGTAGCTTTTCTGGTCGATTGGGACCTTTCCGTTTGGAAACAACAGCTCTATTCCAAGACCTCGCTTGTGTAACCGTCGTCCTGACTGACACTGGGCCTCATGCGCTCCGCTACTCCACATCCTTGTGGACGCAATGAAAGGGAAAATGCTTCTGGAACGAAAGGCTATGTAGTTTGCTGTTAAAGTATTATTACGGACGCATGTTTTTACCAGTCTTAGGATTCTAGGGCACTTTTTCCTTTTGCTTAGTTGGGGACATTTAATGGGTTGGTTCACCCAAAAATGAAAATGATGTAATTAAAGGAGTAGTTCACTTTTAAAAAAGCTTTTGCTGATAATTTACTCGCCCCCATGTCATCCAAGATGTCCATGTCTTTCTTTCTTCAGTCGAAAAGAAATTAAGGTTTTTGATGAAAACGTTCCAGGATTTTTCTCCATATAATGGACTTCAATGGGGTCCAAATGAGAGTTTCAGTGCAGCTTCAAAGGGCTTTAAATGACACCAGACGATGAATAAGGGTCTTATCTAGCGAAACGATTGGTCATTTCAAAAATAAATAAAAAAGTTTAAGTTTTATAAGCTCAAATGCTCGCTTTGCTCTGTTCTGTGATGCAAATGACGATCGAATCCTTTTTCGAATCATTTCGTTCGTTGAATGAACCAATTGACTCGAAAAAAGATTTGTTCATTTTGATGAAATAGTTCGCACAGGAGAGTCATGAACGCGCATCACAGAACAGAGCAAGGCGAGTATTTGAGCTTATAAAACTAAAACTTTGTTATTTATTTATTAAATGAGCGATCGTTTCGCTTGATAAGACCCTTATTCATCGTCTGGTGTCGTTAAAAGCCCTTTGAACAGTTTGCAGTTTGCACTGAAACTCTCATTTGGACCTTGAACCATTTGGTTCCCATTGATGTCCATTATATGGAGAAAATCCTGGAATGTTTTCATCAAAAACAAAAAAAAAAATGTTTTCTTCATTTCTTTTCGACTGAAGAAAGAAAGACATGGACATCTTGGATGACATGGGGGAGAGTAAATTATCAGCAAAAGTTTTTTTTAAAGTGAACTACTCCTTTAATGACTTTCGTGTCGTCCCAAGCCCGTCAGACCTCCGTTCATCTTCATAACACAGTTTAAGATATTTTAGATTTAGTCCGAGAGTTTTCTGTCCCTCCATTAGAAATGTGTGTCCAGTATACTGTCCTTGTCCAGAAAGGAAATAAAGACGTCATCAAAGTAGTCATGTGACATCAGTGGGTTAGTTACAATGTTTTGAAGCATCGAAAACACATTTTGGTCCAAAAATAACAAAAAATACGACTTTATTCAGCATTTTATTGTCTTCGGTTCTGTCGTGGATCCGCGTTCAGTGACGTAAGACGTGGCTGACGTGCGTCTGGTGCGGCTGAGCTTCGGTTACAGTCTGAGGGAGACGCTCGCTGTACAAAACAATCTTCACAAACATGTCTAAGGATTTCCACACAGAGGAACACTTGCATTTTTTTGGCCCAGAACCCGAAAACATGGATGTCAGCCACAACAGAACAATATTTTAATTATTTTAATTATATATTTCTTTCTTATTTGTTTTTAAGTATACTAATAATATTTCTAAGGAACAATTTGCACTGTTTTATGGGATTGTCTTGTCCACAAAAGATACACAGGCATCCCATAATGTTCCTATATTTATCAGACAGCCTTTGCATCTGGAGTACAGTGTGACAGAGCTGATGGGCTATGATTAATAACTCAATCGTTCTCGGAATAATACACAGAACGTTAGTGGTGATTTACAACAGGACAGTTTCACTATGAGTTGGCCTGGTTGTGGGATTCGAGAGAGTTTATTAGCCATAATTCACATGCATCAAGGTCTTATTTAGACTTCTAATGAAAGTTTTAAAGGACTTTGTTGAACATTCAGTGTGGTGATTTTTTGATGAATTGTATTCATTCATTTTGTCCTTTCTCATAATGCACGCCGTAACTCAGTGCTGGAAAATGAGCTCATGGCTGTGATTACTCGCTCTCAGTTTGAGTGAAAATGTGACTTTTTATTTTTGTCTTTTCTGTGATTCTCAGAGCCAAATTACCCTGATGGACGCCCCTGTTTTTAAGGCCATACAGCCAGAGGTAAGACAAAGGTCACGTGTTTTGAGGATGAAAACTTGTAGACTAGAGAATGCACTTTAATGTATTAAATTGGGGTGAGGGGTGGTGATGGTGCAGTGGATAAGACACATGCCTTTGGTGTGAGAGACCCGGGTTCGAATCCACTGTGAGACACCAATGTGTCCCTGAGCAAGACACTTAACCCCTAGTTGCTCCAGAGGCGTGCGACCTCTGACATATATAGCAATTGTAAGTCGCTTTGGATAAAAGAGTCAGCTAAATGAATAAATGTATATGTAAATTGTTGCATCATAACCGTCTGTAAAATATTTATTTATTTATTTTAGTCATGGATGATTTTTTTGTCATGCGATGCGAATATATACATTCCATTGTCCTATTTTTATTTAATTTGTAAATTTGTATTATTATTATTATTTTTAAAATATTTTTTAATTAAATTTTGTAGTTTTTATTAGATTAACATTTACTTTTATTTAATGTTTTATTTTATTTAAAATTACATTTTAATTTAAATTGTATATATATATATATATATATATATATATATATAAATAAAAATAAAAATACAATTTAAATTAAAATAAATGTAAATGTAAATTGTTGCATCATAACCGTCTGTAAAATATTTATTTATTTATTTTAGTCATGGATGATTTTTTTGTCATGCGACGCGAATATATACATTCCATTGTCCTATTTTTATTTAATTTGTAAATTTGTATTATTATTATTTTTTAAATATTTTTAAATAAAATTTTGTAGTTTTTATTAGATTAACATTTATTTTTATTTAATGTTTTATATTATTTTATTTAAATACATTTTAATTTAAATTGTATTTTTATTTTATATGTGTATATATATATATATATATATATATAAATTACATTTAAAATTAAATAAAAAACAATATAAATAAAATAAAAACTTACAAATATAATAATATAAATACAAATATAATAATAAAATTAGATATAATAAGTAACAAGAAATATGCATTATTATATGTATATATAAATATGTATGTATTATTTTGCATTGTTTTATTTTATTTTATTTTTGTCAAATTTCATTCCTCAATAATGACTGATCACATTTCTAAGTCACTCTTATATGCACTGTATTGTCCTCCTATTTCTTTGAATGGCATAAAGCCTCCATTTAACATGAATTGCAATGCAGACACATAAACATGTTTTACCTGCACCGACACATGGACGTTTGATTACCTCAATGTCCCATATGATAAGAACGCATCTACGATCTCTCCTCCATCTTTATAATATAATGGAACTGTAAACCTACTTGTTTCATTATTTATATGCTACTATTTTTGAAGCTAAAAAAGGAAAAGCTTTTGTTGAAGCGCAGACTTTGCGAATTAAACGCCTTGGCAGAATATTCTAACTATAGTAATCTTTCATTAGGGATGTTTAGACACTGTTTGGGGAAGAGAATAACACTTCAGGATCAGTTGATTATCTTTGCCAGGATAAGTGACAGCGAGAAGAGGGTCCAATATTTCCTCAGACAGATAATGATGTAAAAGTGGGAAAACAGCTCTTGATGGATGAGAGAGAACACCTGTGACCCACTTTCATTGGTTCGCTAGCTATACCACCTTATACAGCACCCAAATAGTCTTGGCAAGTTAGTGGCGCCCAGCATCTTTAAATTAGTGTCTTGATTTTATTTAGAAAAAGTTTTTCAGTGTAAATATTGTTTTATTGCATGCATGGATCAAAATACTGCCAGAACACCAAGAAACACACACTCTCGATACCCGTGACCCTGCGTGTTTAGCACTTCCCGTGACATACTTAAACATTTGAGTTGCGCAAATAAATACAGGAGGTTCGTTTCAGTCCGTAAAGTTTCAGACAGAAACATGTCTGAGGGTTTGTGTCGCTCATCCACAAAAAAAACAGGTCTGTGTATGATTTATTTATGTTTTTGCTTTGGGACAGGCCTTTAAGATGCTGTAATGTCTGCTTCTCTCAGACGTTCAATCTTTCGGATGTTTGAAAGTGTGCGAGAGGAATGCCCTTATGTCATGCATGTGACGTGTGCATTTGCTAATGAAGACATGCTCTAATAGAGACTGTGGATTGATGTGTTGTGTTTGCTGAGGACAGTCGTCTACATCTGGAGTCTAGAGGAGCTGATTGCCTCAGTGCTGTGTTTATCGCTACATAAACCCGTTTCGTCATTTCTTTTCAATAGCAGAGAGTTATGATGCGCAACAGAGAGTTTGTAAACCCAGCTTTAATCTGTCTGTCAGCGGGCATCGGATTCAAGCTTTCGTTAATCTAGTTCAGTGTCTCTGTGATTAATGCATTCAGGCTTTAAAGGCGATCGAATGTTCCGGCTTTTGATGTATAACTCGGTTTATAAAAACAATCAAATGTGTTGACTGAAATGGAGAATCATTTGCCCAATAATGCTTCATTGTAAGTTCGTAGCAATGCTGTTTAAAAACTAACTTTGCTGGTTGTTAAGTGTCATTCCCCTTTTTTTGAATATACATGAAAATGCACATTTCCAACTTAAATGGTTGTAATTCGAGAATGCTTTGGAATATAGATGTAAGATTGGTCTTGTATTAAAGAAGACATTTGGCAGATTTTTGTAGAAGTGAAATACATTAAGAATGTGAAACAAAAAAAAAGTTAGAAGCTTGAGTTTATGGAAATGAACAATGTAAAAAAATTCATATTCATATTTTATATAAATATATATATATATATATTTTTTTTTTCAAAACCTGGGATACTCTAAAACTGCAGAAAAATCAAAGCCGAAAATCTGAACAAGTTGTGTTTAAAATTTTAGGTTGATGTCTCAAATAATGAGCTTTCAGTGAGAGTGTGTGTGTGTGTGCGCAGTACCGAACGCTTCCACTAGGGTACAACCAGACTCAATCACTGACCATATAAGAGCGCCTCCATTTCCATGTGTTTTGAGTGATCTGAACCATTTTTTCCCACAATTTTCATACAATTTATGAAGTAGAAATCCTATTCAGAAGAAATATGGGAAGTTTGGCAGATTTTGATACGAATTCAACCTCTAAGAAACACATACAAAGAGCAAGCATATGCCTTGCCGCCACATCACAAAGGGTGAATTTATTATTTTTTCTTTATATTTAAAACATTTTCAGACCTTTTTTTCTAAAATAATTGAATGGATACTATCTTTTATACTCTTGGCATGAAAACAAACTGAGGTTTCTACCTTTTTTTCATGATGTGAACTCAAATAATTTAGTATATAAGGAAGATTTTCTTGTTTATTTTATGTAAGGAATAATTGACGACAGGCCATTAAATTATTAGAAAAATAATGCACACCCTAGGTGGTAATGCGGTCACGACTTTCTCTTTCTTATATGTACTAAAAGACGTCTTTATTTTATGTACTAAAATATTTGAGTTCACGTAACATTCTTTACTTAAAAATATATGCATCGCATTATATTTATTTTTAAGTCAAGAATGTTGCATGAACTACATACATCTTGTTTATTTTATGTAAAATTATTTAAAGTTGGGATTACTTAAAGTATGATGCAAAAATGGCGCATATGTATTTTGAGTAAATCCAACACATAATTTTTTTAGAGTTTGGTATTGGTAATTTTTCAGCTGATCGGGTCAATTGAATTAAAGCTGAAATAAAATACTTTTGGACATTTTGCGTTCTAAAAGGACTAAAACCGAAATAAAAATCAAATTGAAGATACAAAGAAACTACTTAAGAACTAATAAAATTGACAAAAGCATGTAAAAATGACTAAAAACAAATAAATTGTTAAGTCGCCATGCATGAAATAAAATTTTACAATTCATATTTTTATATGTAATATTGTAGTGTTTATTATAAATGACTTATCTGTGCATTTCATTAATTTATATATATATATACTGCATATATATATATATATATATATATATATATATATTATTTTATATCTATTTTTCAGTTTAATTGTATGTAGCTTACTAAAATATCAAAAACTAGAATGGATGAAAATGAGATGTTGCTTTAGCAACACTGTAAAAAAAATATTGTTGGTTTAACTTAAAAAATTAAGTAACCTGGTTGGCTTAAAATTTTAAGTTCATTGAAATGGAAAAATTTAGTTAATACATTGAAGGAGATTGATTTAATCACCAGAAAATCTAAATATTATGTTATCTGAACAACAAATTATTTAAGTTGATTTGACAAAAAAATGTAGTGCTTACAAAAAATGAAAAAAAATTTACAGTGTATTTGAAATTGAATAAAAAGTAATTTTTTTTAAATTTTATGTTTTAAGGAAAATGTTTTTATGGTTTAAGTTTTAGTTAACTATAATAACCCTGAAACCTGTTGAGGTTATTTAATTGTGAACACAAATATATGAATCCAGTCTCTTGAGACTTAAAGACTCCAGCGCTGATGGCCCTTTCTTCCATTCTTAATTACAAGAAAACACTCTTGATTGATCACTGCATATTTGTGGGTCTTAACTGTAATTACACTTTATTAATCAATTTAATGGAAAATAGATTAACAAAGCGCTGAAAAAACACAAGAGAAGCGGTTTTGGGTTGCATTAAAATAAAGAAACTTCTGTATGTCATCCAGCATCTTCAAGTTTTCCATGCGTCTGCTGTAGTTGTGTTAGTTACGATCACATTATTCACCTTCATCATCATGTTAATGTGTGATGCATTCGAATTTTGACAATTGGCCTCAATTCAGTTGTAAAAGCCGACGGCTCGCCACATAATTCCCCCATAATTCCTCTCCTGACACTTTTACGCGGTGTCTTGGAACAGCGTGACCTCTGACCCCCCGAACGCAGACTCCCGCTGATGCGAAGGGAAAGAGGGAATCACCTCCAGCTGTGTCTGCTTTTGCCATCTTTGCCTCCTTTTCTACTCCCGCCAAGTCTTGGCTAAGTGGAGTAATCTTTGTGTGTGTGTGTGTCCAGACTCGAAATGATCTACAGTGATAATTGTCTTGCCGTAAAAAAAGTTGACGTAAGGTCTGACCGTCTCGTAACCTTTGACCGTCGCCACTTTCCATGAGAGTGAGATCATGAATTTAATTTACTGTAGTAAATGAACCATTAGTGCTAAAAGTGTCGGTCTGTGATTGCAGATAATTGTGAGCAGTGAATTTAGAGATGGAAACAGCCTTAAACAAACTTTATTTTTAACTTCAGTGCTATTATCAGCGGAATATCAGATGTTTATCTACACATATCCTACATATATGGCTATTTAATTTAATGGACATACACTAGAGCCAGACCGATATATCGGCAGACCGATATTATCGGCCGATATTAGGCATTTTCCAAACTATCGGTATCGGCAGTTATAATGGCCGATAAATGAATATTTCAAAAATAAAATAAAAACGGACAAAACACGCTTGAACCATGTCATGAGTGTTGGAGTTGTATGGTTTGTCCACCAGAGGGCACTCTACACCGTTCCTGTTGGCAACACTCGTTGAGTTGGTCACGACACATACATTGTTTGAATAACAATTAAAAGAACATTCGCATCAGTTCTCTCAACTCAAATAAGCATGACAAAATTTGTGACCATCAGGTCCAGTTTTGCTGCTGCTATAAGCCGAAAGTGAAGCGGAATTAGCTAGTTATAGTTACGTTACGTTGTTCCAGTGTAGTTGACTGACTGTCCTTTTAACTTTTGACAATGTGACTGAAGTATTTCTTTAATAGTGCGTGACAGGTATAGCAATGAGACGGATCATCTCTCCTCGGACTGTTATATTGAAAATTTGTGTTTTACAATTATGATGTTATCCATTGCTAAATTATGGCTCATCATAGACTAGCTAACCACAAAGCTAGCTAATGCCACTATCATCAGTCTGTTCTGTTGTGACAATAAAAAACAAGTTTTTTTTTTAAATGCATTATCATATTATTTTAGTTAACTCATAAAGAACCACAAAAAACTAATGTTAGGGAAATCTGTTAATGTTTTGTTGCGCGTTTCTGAAATAAAAATAAATAAAAAAATATCGGCCGATATATCGGGATATCGGATTTTAAAACCAACAAATATTTGTATCGGTATCGGCCTTCAAAATCCTTTATTGGTCGGGCTCTAACATACACAGACACACACACATGATCTCATTGTATAACTCGACTGTAGCTGCTTGTGCATCACCTTGTGAGCAGTAAATGTCACTGGAATGTTAAAAAGCCCCGAGTCCACGAGGCCTTCAGTGATGTGAAGAGCAGGTGTTGGGCCAGGAGAGACTGTTCTGGGGTCTGTCAGGCGGCCCACAGTGCTGCGCGTCCACTTTAGTGCCAGGCATTCTGGGAATGAAAGTTAAAAACGCAACCTTCGACCTCTCACATGTTTTCTTTGTAGTTGGTTGAGTGCGCTTCAAGTGTTCGGCTCTTACACACCTGGAGGGCCCTGGGATCCTTCTCTCCATCGTCAGCACGCTTCATCCCTGAATCACTCTTCTACACCTTTCATTTTCTCTTCATCACAGACCAAACCATTCAAATGTGGCTCTTTTAACTTGACAAATCCCCCCAAGTGTTTATGAAGAGTGTTTATTGCACTGCAACATTTTCAGCAAAACCTTATTTTGGTTTGCGTATTTGATATTACGCACGTGTCTCTCGTTAGTCTGCTTATATTCAGCTCCAAGTGTTTATTTCTTTCATTCAGCGCAGGCTCAAGTCTTTTCCACACATCTTATGTTACTTGTCTTTTGTTTGTTGTAACTTCATCTTAAATCTGATTGGATGAGCCACGTTTAAAGTTGTTGGAAAATAGTCATAAAAACGGACGTGTTTTCTACGATTCTACGGTTTTTAGCAAATGTAAGAATTGCTTATTGTTATTTAATGTTACGTTTGAAGACATGCGTTCTGCTCAATGAGTTTTATTGTTTGCAATTTGCATCTTTAAATGAAAATGCATCAATTGTAATGTGCATTAACCCTGCCTACTGGACCTGTGAGAGACATCTGGAAAGTGGTAGATCCTTTTCCGTCTAATTTGTGTTTTTGCAGCGTTTTTTTTGTGATCAATTGTGACAGTGTATAAATAGAGGATAATTGCAAACACATTAGTTTAGCTGAACTAACGAGTAAGCTGCAAATGAATCTGTCATACCCAGTTCTCCTGCGGGGTTGAGTGTTGAAAAAATAATCAGAACAATCTGCATAATTATTGATTTAAAGGTGGAAACTTGAGATCTTACAAAAAAACAAAAAAAGAGAGAAAGAACATGAAATCATAACTTAGACCGGGTTCAGTTACACTTGGTTTAAATACGGGGGCTCCACGCTGTAATAATTCTGTTTCCACTTACAGGCCCGCTGTCAGTCAAAGGCACTGTATCAGGGTCTCTTTAGGCCTCAGTACCACTGGAAAGAAGAGCAACATTCACTGTATTTACTTTCTTAATCTCAGTTTTTATCTGTTGTGTTGTAGGAGCTTGCTAGCTGTGGTTGGAACAAAAAGGAGAAACACATTTTGGCTCCCAATGTCGTCGCCTTCACACGGAGATTCAACCAGGTAAGATGGACAATTGGTATGTTTGTGGAGTTTCTGTCTTTTTGTTTTTTGGCTTTATAAAATTGGTGTTTTAATTTAATTTTTAATTTTATTTATTTTATATTATTTATTTATTTATTTATTTTTATTTTGTTTTGTTTTATTTTATTTATTTTTATTTATTTATTTTTATTTTTTATTATTAAGGTAATTTATTTTATCTTTATTTATTTTATTTTTTTCTATTTCATTTTATTGTATTGTGTTTTATTTAATTTTATTTTTCTAATTTTATTTTATTTATTTTATTATTTATTATTTAGGTCATTTATTTTATTTTTATTTATTTTATTTTATTTTTTCTATTTCATTTTATTGTGTTGTATTTTATTTAATTTTATTTTTTCTATTTCATTTTGTTGTATTATATTTTATTTTATTATTCTTTTTTAATGTATGTATCAATAATGAACTATATAGATACATTTAAAAGTAATCAAATTAAATTACAATACAAAAAAAAAACCCAAACATTTTTATTTCACCATCGTCACTACGGGTGCACAAAAACATATGGCTGATTCCAAACGTTTAAAAAAGAAAGTCAAATCGTTTAATCAATGAAATCAGTTTGCAATCATGGCCCGATATCAGACAGAAGCACATAATTAAAAAAAAAACTCTGATTTTGACTGATAATGATATGATGGAAATATCCCAGTCAAATGCTTCACTTATTCATGTATATATTCCTTTAGTTTTCCAGATGTGAAGTGTGTGCTGACAGAGTTCACTGAATGCCGTGGGTATAAAGTGTATTTTTGGCTGGGCGGTAGTTGATATAATGCCAGCAAACTACAAACTGTGCCTCAAAACCATTATCAACCTTATGGCCCAAACCTTAAATATGTGCTGGAAACACTGTTAACAAATCACACATGGGCAAATATCCAGCCTGGTGTTTCTCTCCACATCGAGATTGAACTTGCTGATTCTGCTCATGTCTAAGGAATAATAGAGATGTGTGGTTTGGCAAGCTTGTGAACTCTTATATTTGACGACATTTGTCTTGTCATCTCACATGTTGTCGACATAGGGCACAAGCGCCACAAATTATCACTCACCAAATCCAACCAACAGTGAAAACCAACCTTGTTTCTAAGACGTGTTCGAAAGAACAGTTATTTTTGCATGTAATAATTCAGGTTTTATTCATTGTATTGAATTGTTTCATGTAATTTAAGTTTTTCCACACCAAGTTCAATCAATTTGACGTGTCGTCTTCACCCATTTCTTGACTTTTTTTTTTTTACCTATAACCTCATTTTTGTTTGTGTGCAGTTTATGTTTTGTTCTCAAAGTTCTCCATCCTTTAGCTTTATTAGTAAAACTCGCCTGGTAAACAAACAAAAAAATAAAATAAAAAATTCTTCAGGGACTAAATTTTGGATAATTAAAATGTTGTTTGTTATTCAAACTTGGTGTGGATTCAAAAAGCTCAAGGAGCCATTAATTATAAAACCAGAAGGAAGTTTTGGTTTCAAGTCTTTGGCTGTAAATTAATCTAAATCTATTTGTGGTTTTACTGTAGCGCTCCCAATTCTGCATATTTATGAAGCTTCAGCCTGGAATGAATTTTTAATTTAATTTAATTTAATTTTTAATTTAATTTTTAATTTAAATTATTATTTTTTTTTTAGTTTTTTTTAGTTCATTTGTTTTATTAACTAAATTGACTAAATTTTGGATGATTAAAATGTTGTTTGTCATTCAAACTTGGTGATGCTAATGAATTAAAAAAGCTCAAGGAGCCATTAATTATAAAACCAGAAGGAAGTTTTGGTTTCAAGTCTTTGGCCGTAAATTAATCTAAATCTAAATTTGTGGTTTTACTGTAGCGCTTCCAGTTCTGCATATTTATGAAGCTTCAGGCTGGAATTAATCTGTCTCATTAAATCTGAAACAAAATTAGATTGACTGGTGTGTCCCAATTTTACATATTCACAATTTTGTGAAAGTGCTATAAAAGTGCTAAAAGCAGACGTTTGATGACCCACTTTTTACATTTACGGCATATGTTTAATGAGAGGATTTGAAATTACATAAAAGCATCAAGTTCCCGCTGCACATTTTCCCTTTTGAAATGGTCTCAGCCTCCACAATCCTCCTCAAAGTCAATCTCACAGAATTGCTTCTATCCTGGCTGCCGATGTCTTTGGTTTTATGACGACGTTAAGCCGAACATGATGATTTGGCTTCCAGACCTTCGGAAAGATGGACTGGCTTTGAAACACTTTTCTTGGCCACCCAAGATTGTGTCCTGCTTTAAACAATGCCTGTCGTTTGTAATGTAAATTGTGCCCAGTACTTGTATTAATAGTCATATTTTTTTTATAGAAAAACACATGTGTGTGTGTGTGTGTATATGTAAATTAGGGCTGTCAAAATGGATGTATTAATGCATGCATGCATGCATGCAAAAAAAAATGTCCACATCAACCTTTGACTATTTCACTGTAAAAATAAATAAGACTGAATATAAATCTAATCAATGAAATTGAGGCAACAGATTACAATCAATGTTATTAAACACATTTAACTAATTAGAATCGAGTAATAATTAACCAAATGAATTTAAAATGAGTCAAGAATTTACACATTTCTTTCTAAACAAAAATATCGTAATAAGAGACTGTTGTCAAAGATGAATTAAGAACTCTTTTTTTTATCGCCATCATTGAAGAAACCTGATGTTAACAAGCAGAATCAGTAAAGAAGAAAACCGTAATTTTTACGTCACCATTATGCAGATTAGTGTGCTCAGGTCAAATGATTGTGAAATAATGATTATGTTAAAACATAACCAACACAATCAGATCACTTTTTCTATTTGTTCATCTGGCTGTTATAATTCACGCCAAACAACATGTAAAGTTAATGATTTAAAGGGTCAAGAGCCCAATGAGAACACACTGATCTCCATAATGGTGACTTTAAAATTACGATATAGAGTATATGTTGTAAAATTACAACATGAAGTCAAACTTGTCTATGTAATGAATCAGCTCTGTATTTTTTAGTGCAATCCGGTGAGCTGAAACTGTACATAATCATCATGGCAACTAAGCAGAAAATCTGGCCCTCAAATGTATTGTAGCGCTCTTTGCCAGTACATTATATACAGTAGCTTTCAGAGCTGTTTTGAAGGCATTATGGGTAAGAATGAAGTAGATGAGCTCACCCTGTTTCATGAAGGGGGTAAAACCCACTTTACAGCCACTTTGGAAAAAGAGCCGTCATCTCCGAGCCAAGAAATGCAGTGTCTCCACGGGTTTCTATACCAACCAGAGCTCTTATAACGTGTACATGATTTGATAGAGCTATAGGCTATGACATCATTGCACAGTTGGCTTATCTAGTAAAGCGGCGTTCTTACATTTTAACTTAACACAGCTGCGATACGCCTATGTCATACAATATTGCTGGAAAACTTGACTCTAAAACATTTTGAAGCTCATTTTATTTAGATAATAACTCTCAATGACTATGATTTGAGCATTGCTTTGTCTTAAAAAACATCACGCTGAAGTGTTAACATTTACGAAACAAAGGAGGAGTAGTTTGGGGATTGTACTAGTTATATGATTAATTAATGAGGCGATGACTTTGAATAAGCCAATGAAAGCTTATCACTACATAGTGATTATTTAAAATATATATATATATATAGTTATCATATTAGTAACTACATTATTTAACATGAACTAACAATGAACATTTATTAATGTTAATCTCTTTTAAGATCAAAAGTTGTATCTGTTAACATTTGTTTATGGACTAACATGAATATTAAATACTTGAAAATATATTGGTTTAGGTTAGTTAACGCATTAACCTTTTTTGTTTCTATTTTATAGAACTTTTATTCACGTTATATTCATTTTTACAGTAAAATTTTAAGTGAAACAAACTTTAAGCTAGAGAGCCAATTCTATCCTTATCCTTCCCGTACTGTTAAAAATTATTCATACAATTAATCTGTGTACAATTACTCTAAAACCATAAAAAAAATTAGCAGTCTCTCAGTTTCACTACAAATATTTAAGTCATTTATACCCATGTTTTATCAATTTCTTTCCTGTTGGCTTCAAGCATTGGGAAAGATGTCTAATGAAGTCTGGATATTAGTTAACATTTGTTTATGGACTAACATGAATATTAAATACTTGAAAATATATTGGTTTAGGTTAGTTAATGCATTAACCTTTTTTGTTTCTATTATATAGAATTTTTCTTCTTGTTCTATTCATTTTTACAGTAAAATTTTAAAGCTACACTGTGTGATTTTTACCCCCATCTAGCGGTGGAAAGATATTTGATCATCCAGTGAATATTAGTTTCTGTTCCTCTCAATTGCGATTTCGTTTTAACTCCTACGGTGGCCAATGTAGTCCAAGATTAACATGGCTTCCAGTTCGACCTCGTCCATGAGTGTTAACTCAAACGTAAACGCGAAAGGCGAAGCTTGAATTTTTGGGTATGTCCCTCTTTGGCTAATGTACTTTCAAGATGGAGGGGCAACATGGCGACCCCTTACCCGTATGTATTTCCAATGGCATATTATACACTCATGAGAATACTTTATTACTTGAACGAAGTAAATATACATGAATGAGCACATATATTTGTTTTTAGCTAAGAATAAACTAAAAGAGTTACACAGTGTAGTTTTAAGTTAAACTAGAGCCAATTCTATCCTTATCCTTCCCATTAGCAATGTGTACTGTTAAAGGTGCCATATGTAATAATTGAGATAAAAATATCCAAAAAATGAGCTACACGCATCAAAAGAATGAGAAGAAATAAGTGCGATGATGTAATTAAAAACCTGATAAGTTATAGTGCTGCCGAGATAAAAACCTAAATTAGCATGCTAAATTACTAGCCCCGCCAAAACTTATTTATTGCGTATTACTTATTAAACGTATTTATTGTTTGAATTGCGTAAAAAATTTGACAGA